TTCACCCTCTTTTGTCTCTGCTATGGTCAGGTTTCCTGCCATGACCCAAGTTCTGTTCATTCACCCTTTTCCACTACTTTTAATGAAGAAGTCAGAATTAGCGTCCATGGTATTCAAGGCCTAAATGGTACACAATACAATGCAATACATTTTTAAACACATTCACAGACTTTAGCTGACTCCTGTCAATCAGTGTTATTCTATTGAATGTATTCTTTGAGCAGTGTTACCTTGTTAAGTCTAAATTTATCATCACGTGTGGCAGCCGCATCAAACTGCTTGTTCCAGTTGCCTTTGAAGTAGATGGCATTGACCAGCACCAGCCTGGTCATGTTGTCCACCACACCATGGGCCAGCAGATCCTTAATTTTACCTGGTAGACACACACAAAGCAACGTCACACAACTGAAGCAATGTCAATAGCCATGTTTCCCCAATATAGAATTTAGTTAGCGTGCATGAACCACCTTGTGTCTGGTTCTCCACCCAGTTGTTGATGTTGAGCCTGGCTGCGTCTGAGTTGGATGTGAAGTCCACAGACTCCAGCTCTGCCCTGTAGTGCTTCTTGGTGTCTCCTAAGAAATCCTGGAACCATAAACACCTTGTTTACTTATTCTGATCCCAGAAAACAACAAGATATGTATTTGCTTAAAGCCCCTACAAGGAACTTTTATGCATTAATTGATAACTAATCTTCTCCCTGATGGTCCCTGATGGTCTTGTTAGTTTATGTGGGTCATAGAGGCATCAGCATTAAACTGAGACTGATTCATAACACTAACCATTAATAACTACTAGGTTAAACTTAATGTGTGGAATTAAAAGTCCTTACAGCTAGAATAGTATTTTCACAATCACTGCTTTCCTTGCTGGCAAGCCTGCTGTCAACTCCCTCATCCATCATTCCCTCAGCTCAGAGAATACTGTCTCCCCAGCCTAACAATGTGTAAACCAAACCACACCTACACACCTACACCTTCTTAGGCAAATATAAACAAAATACACACACCTCAACAAACTGGTAGGACTGCTCCCCGTACAGCCTGTTGGCTACACTGAGGGCATACGGAGCGTCTGGCTTGTTGAGCTCACTCAGCAGCTGGGCAAAGCTAACATGGACATCATCCATAGAATCCTTGGTTTTCAGGCACTGTGGATAAAGAAGACACGTGTTACAGAGATACAGTGAGCAAGCAATAGGCCAGTCTATTATACACGGTGTATTAGACTGGCCTGGTGGTCATCTTGCCTATTAAGTGATGAGACTATCGAAGAAATAAGCAAGGTTTCTCTGGTAGATTGCTGACTTTGTTGATCCATACTTTGTATTTGTACACCATACACTGTCAATGTCAATGTTAATGCACAACATCCCAATATAGACTGAAAAAAAATACAGTAGAGGAAACACTTTAACACCAAAGAACCCATGGAAACGCCTGTCCAGAACCGTTCACATGCAGACACACGTTCTCCCTCCACCATGTTGTTATTTACATGGTTAACCTCAAAATCAAATGTCCATATTTTTAATAAGAATTCAGGATGGAAGTTTTGGCTGGCATGCATCATCTTCCGTGGACAGTAATAAGGACATCTGCAAAATGTGTTATCGCATATGTACAAAAGGAAACAGCTTCATTTGTGTGCACTGTATTGTCCGACAGCAATTTGTCATCATAATTTCAAACTTTTGACGGTTAAGTCTAATCACACTATGGTTTCCAGCAGCTGCTCATACGAGATAAAAGTACACCAGGAAGAAACCATAAAAAATAATTCCAGGACTACATTCCTGTGTATTATGCACGACCTGGTTTTGAGCTGTTGCACACACACTAAACCTTCAATAGACAGCATATAACGAAGGCTACTACTTTCAGTTCAGGAGAACAGCAGCAGAATGGAGACCAGCAAGCAAAGCAGAGTGAAAACAAGTGTAAAATCCTCTCTGGAACCACTGGCTCTTTGTCTCCAAGGATCCCCCTCACCAGACGACATCACCCACCCAGTTAGTAAAAAGCCCCTCAGTTAGTTTATCACTCCTGTACTGTTGGTTTTGTTACCACCTTCAGCAGATACTGTGGCAGCCTGGACTGGACCTGCTGCTGCATCTGCATCTGTTCTTGTGCTCCTGCATGCTGAGGCGGCTCTGCCTCAGTGAAGCAGAGGACCTGGGGGGTGCAATTGGTGGTGTTCACTGTTAAGTTAGAAATCATGTGTC